TGCACCCACTGCACGGCATATGGTGCACGCCGCAAAGCCCTCCTGCACATGTAACTACTGCACATCTCCAGGCTGCGACAGCAAACGTGCCATCAGCTCATTCTGTGCGGTTCGAGACACTGAAACACCGACTGCCCTCACAGTTCTGTGACGTGCCAGCAAACTCCATTTCCCTGGAACAAGGTGAGATTACATTTTCATTTCCAGTGCAAAGACTGAGGTCTGAGGTACGGCACCAGCGACTTGAATTACAGGATATTAATAAAAGTGTAACTATTCAGATTCAAATGGAAATCAGCAAGCTGGTAATTTTAATAACTTTTATTTTTTCACACGTCTTAGGAAAGTGTTTCCAGTCAAATCAGGAGCAGCTGGCGCTGGAAACGCAGAGCTCTGGCTGGATCCGAGCTCCCTGCCTGACTGACGGACTCTGAACACATCAGCTCCCCTTTGGCCCCAAGCCAGGAACTCGGCTCCCCAGCCAAAAAGCTGTCTGCAGGCTGCAAAATGGCAGCACGCATGGTGGCAAGGAGCTGGGCTCTCTTCCTGCAGCCCCGTTCCCATTACATTCCTCTTTGCACAGCACTACGCAGAAAACAGCAGAGGAAGGGACACATTTGCATCTAGATCGTGCCCTAGGGACAGGACCAGAGGTCAGCTGATGTATCTTTCTGGCCTTGCTACTAGGCTAGGAAAGGAAACTGCCATCAGCCTTAAGGCCTTGATACAAGGAACCGGAGACAAAGTCCTTTCCTGTCAAAGCAATGCATGCCATGGCCTCCTGCTGACCAGCAAAAAGGAGTCCCAGAGGGTCAGGACTGCCAGGTGGCAAAGCAGTGTCCTCACTGGATGAGAAACATCCCTGGTTCGGTGCTATGAGAAAGAAGGGAGAGAGTTTTCTTCCCAGTGTGAGTCTGACACTCAGGACACGGCCAAGCACACTGCAGAAGGGCAGGGTGGCCCAGTCCCCAGCCGACATGGCAGGATGAGAAGATCTTGCTCTGCTCTCCTTGAACCCAATGGCAAAGCAATGGTTCAGTCATAAGATGAGCTTCCCAGCTCTGTGCTGCTCTGGGCTTTGCATGCTTTTGGTATATATGGAAACAAAGTTGGAAATCCCAACGCAAACGTGCTTCTACATTGGCAGGGACACAAGGCCCTGCAGACACTGGTTTGAGTGGCTCTGTGGAAGGCCTTCTGGCAGAGTGGGACAAATGGCCTCGTGAGAAATGAGTACAGCAGGCTCCTGCTTACCCAAGGTCCTCTAGAGACACAACCCCAAGCACAAAATTACAGAAGGGATTTGCCCACAAAAGCATTTTAAGTATACATCAACTAATTAGTGGTTCTTGTCCTTTACTCTCTGTTTTGAAGCTTTGAGCTGCCCATGCGACCTCCCGGTTCTTAAAGTTTACATTTTCAGAAGAAACAAGTACCAAAAGACTTTCCAGTACAATGCTGAGAGCTGGCAACATTTCTCATTTCTTGTCCTTCTGGTATGTACCAACACCTGGGGGAGGACTTTCAAAACCCCAAGATCACCATCAACAACCCTTGAGGGCTGCTGTAGCTATCGGCCTGCAGTTATTATCTCCCCTAAAACATTATTTTGTAGACCCCTGGTGGTCTGTGGCAAGCTGGTTGGACGTACGGTGTTGACTCATCCTTTCTGTTCCTAGATTCCTCTGTCAGAATCAGGAAAAACAGCTCATACTCTTATGGAAGACACTGGGACTGAGGCACAGGCTGCTTATTTGCCTATGTTAGCAATACTTCCTAAAGAGAGGTAGGGAAGAAGTGCCATCCTTACAGAGCCACTGATGAGGCACAGCCAATCCCCTGAAGCCACTCCAGTAGGCACCAGACGAGGGAAGGAGAGGAGCCTGCAGCCGGCCAGGTGAGGAGCTGAGGGAAGGGGACCACATTTGGGCACAGAACCAGGAGCTGACACAACATTTTACAGGCACAGCAAAAAGATGTTCAGAGTTTTTTCCACTGCCAAGGCTACATCACATGAAAGGCGAAGACTCCCACCTCTGCCTCCTCCATTTCCATGTAAGGAATTGCAGTTATTGCCACAAGGGTGACAAATGGGATACTGATTGGCAGGAGGGGTGGTACACAAGACAGTCTCTCTGTTGTGATCCTTAGCTAGAAAAGTTTGAGAATCCCCACTTTCAAGGCTATAAACTCAAGTAGAGGTAAGAAACTCCACTCCTTGCGTGTTTCCTCCTAAACTGCGTATTTAAGCTAAGAATGGAAACAGGATTTTTATCAAGGACTTGTCAAATCAGTCATTTTAAGTTAAATCCTCAGAAAATGATCAAGAACATAAAACTAACTTTTCTATTATGGCAGAACTGCACGGCCCCTCATTGCCAGTAAAAGAAGCAATGGGTATTCATTGGTATTCCTATTACAGCCCATACAGCTACACTGTAGAAACTGCTCTATGTGTTCCATTTTATGCAGAAAACTTAAACATTTAATCATCATCTTG